CAAAACAATCTTGAAAAAGAACAATTAAGTTGGAAGAGTCACACTTCTTGATTTCAAAACTTACTAGAAAGCAACGCTAATCAAGACAGTGCAATGTTGGTATAAAGAAATATAGATCAATGGAATAGAACTGAGAGTCTAGAAACAACTAATATGTTTATGACCAACTGATTTTCAACAAAAGGGCCAAGACCATTCAATGAAGGAAATAGTTTTTTCAATAAATGGTGCTGGGACATTGGAATGCCACATGCAAAGCAGTGAAGCTGGCTTCTTAACTCACATCATATATAAAACTTTACATCAAATGGGGCAACTGGAAGGCTCAGTTGGTTAAGCGTCCGACTTTGGCTCAGGTCATGATCTCACGGTTCGGGTTCATGGGTTCGAGCCCCGCGTCGGGCTCTGTGCTGACAGCTCAGAGCCTGGGGCCTGATTCAGATTCTGTGTCTCCCTCCCTCTCTGACCCTCCCCTGCTCATGCGGTCTCTCTCTCTTTCAGAAATAAATAAAACATTTAAAAAAATAAAAAAAAAGTTTATACCAAATGGAGCAAAGTCCTAAATATAAGAGCCCAAACGATAAAATTCTTGGTAGAAAACACAGGGGTAAATTTGCATAACCTCAGATTTTAGCAGTGGTTTCTTACATATGAGATGAGAAACACAAGTAACAAGTGAAAAAACAAATTGGATTTCATCAAAACTGAAAACTTCTATGCTTCAAAGACACTATCAAGAAAGTAAATGTACAACCTACAGAATGGGAAGAGATATTTGTAAACCTTATATCTAGTAAGGAACTTGTATTAGAATGTATAAAAAACTACAACTTAAAAATAAAGACAAATAACTCAATTTAAAAATGGGCAAAATAACTGAATAGACATTTCTCCAAATGATATTTAAATGGTCAGTAAGTACATTAAGAGATGCTCAACATATTTAGTCACTAGGGAAATACAAATGAAAACCACAGTGAGATATCTTTTCACATTCATTTGGATGGTTAGGTAATAAGAATCAGTGAGAATGTGGAGAAATCAGAACCCTCATATATTGTTGGTATAAATGTAAAATGGACGGCAGTCTTGAAGTTCCTCAAACAGTTAATTATAGAGTCACCATATGATCTAGTAATTCTATTCCTATATGTATATTCTTGGGAAATGAAAACATGCCCATACAGAAACTTGTAAACAAATGTTGATAGCAGCATTACATGTAATCGTCAAAAGATGAAATCAGCTCAAGTGTCTATCAATTGATGAACGGACAAACCAAATATGGGACATCCGAACAATGGAGTATTATTCGGCCATAAGGAGTGAAGCACTAATACAGGATACAACATGGTTGAATCTTGAAAATATTATGCTAAGTGAAAGAAGCTAGTTACAAAATACTACATATTCTGTGATTCCATTTATATGAAATATCCAGAATAGGCAAATTATAGAGACAAAGAGTAGATTGATGGTTGCTTAGGGATTATGGGAATGGGGCATAATAAAAGGTATGGAGTTTTGTTTTTTTTGTTTTTTGAGGTGATGAAAATGTTCTGATAGTGACTATAGTGATGATTGCACATATGTGTGACTCTACTAAAGTATACAATGTATACTAAAGTATACATTGAATTGTATACTTTAAATAGGTGAACTGCATGTTATGCGAATTATTTATCTCAGTAAAATTCTTTAAAGGGCAACATGAGGCATTCTGAGTTGATGAAAACACTCTGTATTTTTAAAAACAAAACAAAACCAAAAACCTAGCAATGGAATATGTGAATCCTATGGTAAGTGTACATTTTTAACTTTATAAGGAACTGTCAAACTTTATCAAAGTGACTACTTTGTCTTCCTGCCAGCAATATACAAAAGTTTCAGTTGCTGCACATTCTCATGAAGACTCAGTATTATACATAATTTTGAAAATTTTAAACCATTCTAACAGGTATATGTTGTTATATCATTGTGGTTTTATCATCTATCACATTTTCTGAATGACTAATGATGTTGAATATCTTCTCATGTACTTGTTTTAGTTGCTATCCATGTATCTTTAGTTAAGTTTCCTAAGTTTAAAATAATTAAAGGGGCACCTGGGTGGCTCAGTTGGTTAAGCGTCCACTCTTGATTTTGGCTCAGGTCATGATCTTTCAGTTAATGAGTTTGAGCCCCACATCGGGTTCCACACTGACAGTGCAGAGCCTGCTTGGGATTTTTTTTCTCTCTCTCTCTCCCCTGCTCATGTGCACACACTCTCTCTCAAGAGTAAACTTTAAAAAATTACAAAAGTAATTAAGTTAAATTTGTTACAAAAGAATAGTAATTTTCACAAAAATTAGAAACTTAAAACCAAAACAGAAATAACATTTAAAGATGTAGAACAAACTGGAGAACAGTATTTGCCATGTACGTGAAAGGACAAGGAGAAGAGATATATGGGAAGAGATGATGGACTTTGCTTTCTCTTGATTGGACCTGTTGTGTGTGTATATAACCTCTTATTGCACCAACCTAGTTTGTAAAGTGCTCTGACTCTTCCCCTGGAGGCTAAAGTTGGGGGGTGCCCAAGATAATCAGGTCAGAATTTTGAGAGGCAAGGAGTCTCAGGCCTGGACAATACAGGGCCCCAGTGTTCTGCTTACAAACAAGGTCTGTGGGAAAGTGTGGGGCATCAGTGGGTGGAGTAGGGAGGTTATCAGGCACTAGGTGTAGGTGTGAGGAGAAAAGGGACAGTGGCACAGGGTGGAGCACCAAAGGATAAGGGTAGGGCAAGTGTTTGATCATTATTTCTCCAAATATTTTTTTCTGTCACCCACTTTTCTATCCTGTACTTTGAAGACTTCAATTACTTATATATTGGGCCACTTGAAGTTGTCTCACGGCTTATTGATGCTATTTTTTTCTCTTTCCTCTTATGGACTTTTGCTGTTTCGGAATATTTTTATTGCTATGGCTTTACATTCACAAATCTTCTGCAATGTCTAATCTTTTTCATCTCCAGAAGTTTGTGACTTTCTTGTTATGGTCTTCTATGGTTGTATTCAATTTTTTGAACATAACGAATAATGCTGTAATTCATTTTGGATCATGTCCCTGCTTCTTTGCGTGCCTGGTAGTTTTCGTTTGGATGCCAGACATTATGAACTCTACTTTGTTGAGTTCTACTTTGTTGAACTCTACTTTGGATGCATACTTTAGTATTGTTATAAATCCTCTTGAACTTTGCTTTGCAATGTAATTAATTAGTTGGACACAGTTTGATCCTTTTGGGTCTTGCTTTTATTTTTGTTAGATGAATCTGGAGCACTGTTCTAATTATTCTTCAATATTGAGGCAATACTTCCCAAGTACTCTACCCCAAGCCTGTGAGTTACGTTTTTCTAGTCTGATTGGTAGGAACAAGTACTGTTCTTAGCCCTGAGTGATACCTAGGCAATTTTCACTCTAATCCATTCAGGTGGTTCTTTGCCTAGTCTTGGCTCTTTCCTCATTTGCACACACTGATGTGTTCAGTTGAATATGCATTGATAGGGTAGGGCTTCCTCTGCTGAGCTCCAGGATTCTCTATGGAGTTTTCTCCTTTCTGGTGTTCTGTCCCACGAACTCTAGCTGCCTTGGTCTCCCTGAGCTCTAGACCTTATTCCTTCACCTCAGTAGTCTGCTGGGCAGATTTCCCTCCCTTTGCTGCAGACTGGAAACTCTCTCTCTGGGCAATAAACTGAGGCAGTCAAAGGGCTCATCTTGTTTGTTTCTTCCATCTCCCAGGATTACTGTCCCTTGTTTTCTCATATTCAGTGTCTTGAGATCATTTTTTTGTTTATGTTGACTGGCGTTTTTGGTTGGTTCAGGCAGGAGGATCGATTTGGTTCCTGTTACTCCATCTTGGCTGGAAGTGGAAGTGACATCTTTTTGCTTATCTTCTTTTCCTTTCCAAATAATAGTGTTAAAACACTGATTGTCAAAGTTTTCTTTAAGGAGGCATTTGTTAAGTGTCAGGACTTTAACTGTGTGATCCCAGTTAGTCCTCATGACCATGCAGGTTTTCTTAACCTCATCTCCATTTGACAGCTGAAAAGTAAGGCCCAGAGTTTTGCTGGTTTAGACTTGAGCAAGCCTGTCAGTCCCGACGCCATGTGCATTCTGTGGTTCCAAAAAGTTTTTAATGCTTCGCTGCAGAGTTGCCAGAGGAGTTGCCTGACCCACAGAGCATCTCTGGCTTCTCATTTCTTAAAGGAAAGCTCATACTTGCAGTCTGGCTTTTGAGGTATTCATACCCACATGCACTTTGTCAGGCACGCATGTATGCCAGTATCTCATCCAGCCACTTGAGATGAATGAGAAGGCAGTAAGATGGACACTAAGTAGGGAAGCATCCAGAGCGGGGTATCAGTGGCCAAAGTCACCCAGGCCTTCTAATTCTGAATCCAGGTCTCTGTCTCCAGACTTGAGATCCCACACAGCTGGCAGGGAAGCAACCGTGAGGTGCATAACACATAGGTAGAGGTGCTCAGTCCTTACCATGCTTGAGGTTCCTGTGATTTTAGCTATTTCCTCTTCTGTGGGTCAGCTTCTGGACCACTTTCTAAGAAAATCCCAGCTTTCAGGTAATTCTTCAGAAAACTCAAGTCTGTACTTATTGATTTCCTTCCATGAAATTGGCAAGTCAGCTATAGCTTTTGGTGCCCAGCATGATCAGAGATCAAGAGGTACCATTGCCAGAAGGTAGGACCCTGAGGCATGGCTTGGGAAGAGACTTATGTGAGGTGGCCTATCGGTTCCCCTGGCTCAGCCTCAGATGCTTCAAAGGAAGTGACCTCCACACTGGGAAAGAATTTCTGCACGGAGAGGATGGGGCCAATAGATGACATCAAAGATCCTTTTTGGTTCTGATGTTCCATAATTGCCCATTTCAGGAGAAGGATCCATAGTGGGGGGGAAAGTGGAAGTTAGAAGGAAAAGGCAGGGGAAGCCAGGATGATTTGGTATCCAATGCGTGTTCATTTATTTTACACTTACAAAAGAAATCGCCCACCCCTCTGCCCCATTCCCCAAAAAACAGTCTCTTTTTACAAACATTTAAAAATTAAAACCAAATGAAGATAGACAAGTTAATTTCAGTACAATTATTTTTCAATGTAGCTGTCATAATTAAGAGTTTAAATTTCCTACAAGTGACCAATGTCCAAGTGACTTATAGGGAAATCCTGATTATTGGCCAAAAGGAAAATTCCATATTACAAGTTAGCAAATTCTAGTACAAAAATAGTCCGTGTTGGAATAGCCTTTCCTTTTACATAGGTCTCAGAGTCAGTCTACTGACCGCATAATACACTTATGTTTCAGGGTTCTCTCTCTTTCACAAATGGCTCATTCGTCATAGCTGAAGCAGCACGGTGCCTGCATTGGCAGGGACTAGTGTCCACCTCGGGACCGTGCTGGAGTCGCCAGGCCTGGGAGTGCCTCACTGACCCAAGGGCAGCAGGTCAGGGTCCCAGCCCCAGCTCCGCACAGGGGTCCTGGAGGGAGGGATGAGTGGCAGGCAGAGCTTCCTCCTGCTGAGGGAGCAACAGGCCCAGGAAATAGGGGAATTCTGCCCAGGGAGCTGGGCCGGTGCTGGCGCAGGACAGCCCACCTCCTGCCAGTGTCTCCTCGTTCTTCTGTAGCCTGACGAGGTGAGAGGTGGTCCTGCGCATCGTCAGTGGCGAGGGTGTGGTCCTGCCCTTGCTGTAGCCAGAGGAGGCCTAGGCAGGCTACTTGTCCCTCAGAATATCGAGCTGCTCCTGACACTCGGTGAAGAGGCGCTGAAAGCGAAGATTCTGCCCAATGACCGGCAGTAGCTCCTTCAACAGCTCCCTCTTCCGTAGACCCTGTGGACACAAGAAGTGGCAGTTGAGTGCAAGTGTCAGTGAGGAGACCTGGAAGGTGGGGAACTTCCCTGGCCTGGCAGAAAACCTTATGTCTGCCCAACTGACCCTCAGGGACCCCCTGGAGAAACTACAGATGGATGAGAACAACTTCTCTACATGCTGGCAAGTCCCGGGCAAGCTAAAAGCCTAAGCCGGGACATGTGGGATGGAATGACAGGGAGAAGGGAAAGGACACAGTGCAAAGATGCAGCAAAGAAAGCAGGGTAGGTTCTGTTCTTCTGTGTCCCCTAAGTCGGCTGGCACAGTCACCACTGGGCCTTCAACTGCACTGATTAGTGGCCACGGTAGTTTGCCCTTCCAGACCAGGATGGAAATAGGATATTAGGGTAGAGGGGAAGGGGGATGGCCATCCAGGAATGACTGTTCCCGTATGTGGATGCTCTCTAGGGGCCTGAGGTCAAATCCAGGGAAGAAGCACCCAGGAAGCAGAGGCTGGCCTTGGTTTTACAATCCTGGGGCCTCTGCCCTTGGGCCTTGCCCAGGAATCTTTCATGCCTGGGTACACTGGCACCATGGTCTCCCTGGGTTCTCCTGCAACATGTACTACAAGGAGGGGTCTCCACTGCACAGAACCCTGAGGAGCACATCTGCTGCAAAGAAAAAACTACCAACCAACAACACTGACCAGTGGAAAGGAAGGAAGCCCAAGATGTTAAAATAAGCATGGTAACAATATAGGGAATTATAGAAAAGAACTAAGTGTAGATATGTAGTATAAGCAACATAGTCATTGAAGGAGAAGGGATTTGCAGGAGAATAGACACTGCTGAAAACAAATTTGGAGTAGAGTCAGATGGAGGACCACAGACTATGCTTGAGGAGGGAGGCAAGAGAGGGGGAAAATGTAAGAGGAGTAACTGTATAGGAAAAGTAAAGGCAGATGGAGGCAGCAGATGGGCCCAATATCTACATAATGGGTCCCAGAAGAGAGAGAGAAAGAGGAGAGTAGGAAATATTTCAGGAAATAATACAGGTCGATTTCACATAATTAAATAAAATCAAATGGCCTTAGGTTGAAAGCCTCTATGAGTGCTCATCATGTAAGATATGGAAACATAATAAAGGCCATATATGAAAACCACACAAGTGACATCATTCTCAATGGTGAGAAACTGAGAGCTTTTCCTTTAAGATCAGGAGTAAGACAAGGGTATCCACTCCCATTACTTTTATTCAATATAATACTGGAAGTAAAGCCACAGCAATCAGATAAGAAAAAGAAATAGGTGTCAAAATTGGTAAGAAGCAAAACTTTCATCATTTGCAGATGGGATGACACTATTATACTATATGTATAAAACCCTAATGACTCCACCAAAAAGCTACTAATACTGATAAATGAATTCACTAAAATCACAAGAAAAAATTAATATATAGAAATCTTGTATTTCTTCACACTAATAATGAAGTAGCAGAATAGAAAATAAGAAAACAATCCCATTCACAACCCCACCAAGAATAATAAAATACCTAGGAAGACCTGTACTTCAAAAACTGTAAAACATTGATGAAAGAAACTGAAGATGACACAAATAAATGGAAAGATATTTCATGTTCAAGGATTGGAAGGACCAATATTGTGAAAATGTACGGATCACCTGAAGCAATCTACAAATTTAATGTAATCCCTACTACAATACCAACAACATTTTTCACAAAACTAAGGGAGAAAAGTAAGATATTGGAAAAGCTGATATCTAGACATGTTAGGATGAAATATACAGAATTTGAAGATATCAAAGACAGAAAAATTCTGAAAGTTTCTAAAAAACAAGAGCATATTATCTACAAAAGGAGAGATACCAAGATACACAATAAAGTAGTGCTTATAATATACTGGAAAAAAACCTCATAACTTAAACTTTTTTACCCAAATAGGTATTCATATAAAAGGGTGTAATAAAAAGTATTCTTAGGCTTATAAGACCTCAAAAGGTTTGCCACAAGATCCACTGTGAAAATGTTTTGGAGGAAATACTTGAAGTAAGAAGAGATAAATCCAGACAATGCTAAAAGAGACATGAAAAGAAGTGTGATCAACTCTGGCTAAAGTTTATGTTAGCCTTAAGCAAATCATGAAAACAAAAAGTGTAAATGGCTTGAACTTGGTGATGGGGGAAAAAAAGCTTTTCAGATTAGATTAAAAAAAAAAAAAAAAAAAGCCAGCCATCTGATGTTAGTAAGAAACATATAAACATGGATGCAGAAGGGTTAAAAGTTGGAGAAAGATACGTCAGTTAGTAAAGAGTAAAAGAGAGCTACTATTTCATAATTACCAAGGAGGACTTCATGACAAAAACATCGCTGAGGAAAGAGAAAGTCAAAGACAGGGACAAAAACCATCCCCAGGGAGATTTTAATATACAACCAACTAGTAATGGGTCAGAAAGGCAAAAATCTGCAGACTCAGGTAATCTGAACTGAACGCTACATAAACAAGACTTAATGAATATATACAAAATGAAAACACACATTCTTTGGCACGCATGGAAATATAAGAAAATTGCTCTAAAAGTAAACCTCAACAAAACAGCAGGCATCAATCATTTAGACTGCAGATTGGCATGGTCAAATACAGCATAATATATGTTTTTGTAAATAATTTTATCAAAATGCAGCCACGCCCGCCCTTTTGTTTATATATCATGCTACAACAGCAGAGTTGAGTAGTTGTACAGAGACTGCATGGATTTGCAAAGCCTGACATGTTTACTCTCTGGTCTCTGAAAGAAGTAGTTTGCCAATCTCTGATATAGCTCATGTTCTCTAACCAAGAAGACACAATCAAATAGAACTCATGAATATAATTAATCAGTTAAGTTAATTAATGAAATTAATGTGAGTTAATTGAAACTAAAAATGACTTACAAGTGAATGGTAATAAAAACACTACATACTGCAAAACTGGTGAAATGCAGCAGAAGTGGGGCTCTTACAAGGATATTTGAAAACATAAAACATATTCTATCAGAGTACATAAAAGAATGACAACCAATTACCCGAGTCCAATTAAGGTATTAGAAAAACAAAAACAAAAATAACAACAAAAAAACACACACATACACAAAACAAATAAGAAAACAAATATAGAAAAAAAGACCTCAGAAAAGAACTTTTTATTTATTTATTTTATTTTATTTTATTTGAGAGAGAGAGGGAGAGAGAGATAGAGAGGCAGAGAAAGAGGGGGAGAGATGATCTGAAGTGGGTTCTGCGCTGACAGTACCTATAGCCTGATGTGGTGCTCAAACTCGCAAACCATGAGACCATGACCTAATCCAAAGTCAGATGTTTAACTGACTGAGCCACCCAGGCACCCTCCCCCAAAAAAACATTTTTAAAAAGAAAATGAGATAATAAAGAATTGAAACCAATGAAATTAAAAACTTTTGATAGAAAAGATGAATAAAGACAAATCATTTTTTTTAAAAGACTAAAAAAAAAACCTCTCACAAGATTAATCAAGAAAGGGAGAAATCTCCCCCCCCCCCAATATTAGGAATAAAATAGGAACATAACTGTGGATATAGACAATACAAAAAGAAATGAGTACTGATCAACAACTTTATGCCAACAAAACTGAACATTTAAAGAAAATAGACTAACATCTAGAATCTAAGGCAATTAAAAAATAAATAGAAAGTAGGAGTTAAATCTTACCACAAGGAAAATATCAGGTATATTAGTTTTGTAACCTGATGTTTAAGAAACTTCCAAGGAACAGTTTTTTCCAAACTTAAATAAACTCAAAGAACAAAAAAAGGGGAACAACTCCCAATACATTCTATGAGACAAAATAACCTTGATTCTAAAACCAGACAAATGAAAGATCCCAGGCCAATTTCACCCATGAAATCAAGTGTACAAATCCTCTAATAAATTATTAGCAAATTAATTATAACAGTGAATTAAAAATATACTATGTCTAAGTTATTGTTTCTCCAAGAAATTGAGGATAATTTAATCTTAGAAAACTTATGATTTACTCTAATAGATTTTAATATTATGGAAAAAATGCACAAGAATTGGAAAATAGGAAATAAAACAACTATTTGAGATGATTTGATTGCTTACTCTACACAGAAAACACACAACTATTCATAAAATAATAATAATAATGATAAAAACATAACAAAAATGTGTAGAAAGATCAATGATTCAAAGAAGAAATCCCAAAGGAAATTAGAGAATATCTTGAGACTAATGAAAATGAAAACCATATAACCAAGAATGACAGGATGCAGCAAAAGCGCTCATTAGACAGATATTCATAGCTTTAAGAATCTACAAAGAAAGACCTCAAATCAATAACATAACCTTCTGTCCTTTGAAACTAGAAAAATAAAAGCAAGCTAACCCAAATCAAGCAGAAGCAAGAAAATCACACATGAGTGAAAACAAAATGGAGAATAGAAAAATAGAGAAAATAATGAAACCAAAACATTATTTGAAAAGATCATCAAAATTAATAAACTTTTAGCTAGATGGACTAAGGAAAAAAGAGAGAAGACTCAAATCACAATAAGAAATGAAACAGGAGCGGGGCGCCTGGGTGGCTTAGTCGGTTAAGCGTCCGACTTTCGCTTAGGTCATGATCTCGCGGTTCGTGGGTTCGAGCCCCGCGTCGGGCTCTGTGCTGACTGCCAGCTCAGAGCCTGGAGCCTGTTTCAGTCTGTGACTCCCTCTCTCTCTGACCCTCCCCTGCTCACGCTGTCTCTCTCTCTCTCTCTCCTAGAAATAAATAAAAAAATATTAAAAAAAAAAAAAAAAAGAAATGAAACAGGAGCATTACAACTGATGCCACAAAAGTAAAAATTATAAAGAAACAACTGTAAACAAACAATTGTACATCAATGAACTGGACAACCTAGACAATATGGACAACTTTCTAGAAACATACAGCCTACCAAGATTGAATCATGAAGAAACAGAAAATCTGA